TCAATGATTATTAGTCTAATGTTAATAATTTTTATTTTATCTAATAGATATGCACTCCCTCTACAATATAAAAAAAATTTGGCTAAATCTAATTACTAGTTGTAGAGATAAGTCAAATAATCTATTATAACATGTCAAATTTTAGTTATCTCGATTATCTCGGCAACTAGTTATGAACTTGCCAATATTTTTTTTTATTTTGTAAAAGAGACATAATACTTTAAAATAAAAAAAAAATTGCTCGATTCTAATCACTGGAAGTCAAGATAATTGAGGTTAAAGTTCGCCATTAAATTAGTAATATTATGCCACGATTTTCGTCAGCGATTGTTACGATTATTATGTGACATAATTGTTAAGGCATACTCAATTCATTTACACATACTTTCTAACCCCATAGTCTTTTATTAAATACCTTTTTTATTTTTTTTTTCCTTCGTATCCGGCTAGACTAAAAAAAATATAGAATTAAATATCCTGGCTAATTTAGTCACATATTGTAGTTTATTTACTTGATTATATATTCCCAGGCATATTTTGCTATATATTTTTTTTTAATTAATTAAATTTATGTATATATTAGTATATTTGTATCATTTTTATAATATGTACACAACTTTTAAAGATAACTAATAAGTAAAAATAGCTATGCTTACTGGCTTATTCGTTTAAATAAATTAAATTAGCTATTAAAATATGCATGAAATGAACTTAAATAAAATAATTTAAAAGTACTATTAAAGATTAATAAATACTTAGTTTAATAGTAAATTTTCGTAAATATATAGTTAAATAATTAATTTGTAGCTATATAATTGGGAGAGAAGTTAGTGTCATGTCACGGAGTTAAGTGAGCACTGAAATCTAACTAGATAACGAATCTCGTTTGTTTATTTATTGAAAATGATATTGATGATAATATTGATGATAATATTGATTATTCTCTTATTCTAAATATACAAACTCTCTATAAACTAAACTAAGACTAAGACTAAAACTAAGACTCTCTAGATCTTTCTCTTTACACTTCTTATTTATATCCTTACATTCTATTCTCTAATAATGCTGCTATTACTAATCATATAGTTTAATTAACTTTATTATTGCAAAGTTACTTTCTAGTCTAATTTTTTTTGTTGGAAGTATATAGCTTCTATAGGTATAATAAGTTTTATAAGTTGTAAGCTTTTGATCGTCGCTTTTACTATAAGTTATTATCACATCTATTAAAGTGATTCTTTCTGTATGCATATACGAAAATTGGAAACCAATAAATTAAATAACTAATACGTTTTTTTAAGTGATTACTTATACCTAATTCTTAACACTTATTTTAATAGATTAAGTAAACCATTTAAAGTTATTCAACTCTTATTTAATTTCCTTGTATTTAATTAATTATCAACTCGTATTTGCCTTCTATTCAACTAATCTGCGTTGATTTAGAATAATCATAAACTGCCTACATGTTGTTTAACATTTTTACAGAATAATTTTTATGTTATATATATATAATGTTTTTTTTTAAATTACTTTATCTGGATGAAATTTAAACACTTGATATTGGTCACCAATATATGAAATATCGATTAGATCGATTGTTAATAAATTTATTAATTAAAACCACAATGCTTTCATATGAGCAAAGAAAACTGGCCCATATTATTTATTTATTATTATTATTATTATTATTATTTACTTTTTATTTATTTATTTTTTTACTTTTTATTTATTTATTTTTTTACTTTTTATTTATTATTTTTTTACTTTTTATTAATTTTTAATTTTTATTTATTTATTTAATTCTTAATATATAGCATAATTATATCCAAATTAATAATACGAATAACCACCATCATTATCATATACCGCTTGAACACGGTCTACCTCACCTTCAACAAAACGTCTATAATAACTCGGAGCTAATGTCTCTCATTCTTCCTTAACCATCCTCTTGAGCTCATTAAGGTTGCCAGGTCTTGGGCGACGTTTTCGGAGCTTTGCTTCAACCTCGGACCAAAGATTCTCAATGGGATTAAGGTTCGGGCTATACGGAGGCTATTTAAAAGTTTTAATACTTTTATTAGTGAGATACTTTTTAACAGGTTTGCTCCTGTGGACCGAGGCACCATCATGTTGGAATATCCCATTATTGTTGAGAAATTGGTCCTGAAGCTTAGGGATAGCGTAACGAATAAGTGTCCTATGATAGGATGCACTTGTGATGCTGCCGTGGAGACAGATAAAAGAGCCAAGACCCTACCAAGAAAAATATCTCTACATCATAATCCCTTTAGACTTGATTGCTGGAACAAGGCAATCGTCATTAAATTCTTCACCTGGCCTCCTTCATACGTGCTGATATGAATTAGAATGGACTAAAGTAAAATACTTTTCATTCGACCAAAGAACATTTTTCTAGTCTTTGGTCGTCCAATTAAGATGCTTTTCTGCCCAATCTTTATACTCTTTTTTAGTCTTATCACTAATAAAAGGCTTTACGTGAGCAACCCGTGAGACCAGGTTAGCTTTGCGAAGATTATGGCTGATAGTTCTTTGAGAGATTAACTAAAAAATAAAATTTTTAAAAAAATTGAACCAAATAAAATAAATAAATAAATTAATCGAACCAAATAAAAAAAAATAAATAAATTAATCGAACTAAATAAAAAAAATAAATAAATTAATCGAACCAAATAAAAAAAATAAATAAATTAATCGAACCAAATAAAAAAAAAAAGTAAATTAATCAAACCAAATAAAAAAAAAAATCAAATTAATCGAACCAAATAAAAAAAAAATAATAAATTAATCGAAACAATAAATTAAAAAAAAAAATCAAATTAAAAATATTATTACTTTGCCTTCTTGCTGTTCCAATGCAGCTTGAATTTGTCTTTTAATCATACGCCAATCACTCAAGACAAGCTGCATTAGACGATCTTGTGCCGATTCGTTCAAGATTGGTGGTCTTCCTTGATGGTCCGGTAATACTTGAGATGAAGTTTCAAGTTAGTTAAGCACATTTCCAATGGTCTTGGGATCACAACCAACAAGTTTGGCAATTTGTCTATTTGACTTGCCTAACTTTCACACAGATATAATTTCTCTACGTTTCTTTTCTGAAAGTGTCATAATTTAAAGCTATAAGTGGTATAAGTGCTTTAACGAAATTTCAAATTTCTAACTATATAAAAAAAAAACTTACTAAATAATTATAGCATAAAACACGCAATAAAAATTTGTATCATGTGTGCGGCATTAAGGTTCGAAATACGTATTAGTAAATTAAATGATGAAATCTGAATTTACTGCAGATAATATCAACTTTAGATACGCTTTTTTCTTGAACTAGTATAATAATTAATGCCTAATTTGTTTTAAAAACATTAATGTATGCAATTTGCTTAAAAAAATTAGAAATACTAGTTCAAGTGAAAAGCGTACCAAAAGTTGATATTATCTGCAGTAAATTCGGATTTTCATTAGAGACCCTGATTAATGTTTGATTTAGGCCGTTTGAAGTTAATTTTTCAGCTAACATTACTTCTCACAACTCTTAGAAGAGGGAGGATGGGACAAATGAAACGAACATATAAAATGACAAACTATTTTTAACATGGTAACTATATTATAACGAATTACTTCAAGTTAAATTTAGACTAGAAATTCTAGTTGTGTTGCTAATTAGGTCAGATAAATTTGATTCAGTAATTAACATTCCATTCCTATTATAAAAGAGAGGGCAAAAATAAATAAATAAAAAATTATATAATGCATTCATCCAAGAAAAAGAACTTAATTCTTACAATTAAAACTCTCATGATCTAGTAATCGGATCTGCACATTTTTTAAAGAATGTATATAGCAGCGATCACAGATCAGAATTTTGGGTTTACTAATTCTCCAAGTTCCTGGTCAAATACAAATTTTGTTCTTATTGAATGAAATAAATCACTGACCGGATAGCTTAAAAATTAATGTAAAAAAGGATCGATTCGAATAATTGGTTTGTAATTGTTATTTCTATAAAAGTTAAAAGTTTATTTAAATATTTCTTCTTTCAAGTTAAAAGTTTATTTAAATATTTATTCTTACTTATTAATACTAGTTTTCTAGTCGAATAAAAAAATACTTCAGAAACTCTTTTTTCAGTAGATTTTCTTGAATCATTTCATCACAAACTGAAATAAGCATATATGAGAAAACAGCCAAGTAGTAACTAAAATTTCGGCTTTATTCTTTATTATTTATTTTATATTTCTAATTTACTGTTCAAATACAACTATTTTAACATTATTAGTTGTATCTTCTTTAATGTTCTTATTATCATTTACTACCTTGCTTTGTTGCATTGATTTTTCTTAACCAAGTTAAGAATAATCCCTTTCTATATTGATATTGACCAAAGCTTAAAATTCTATAGACTCTTTTACCTAAAATTACTAAGATGATAAACAAATAAATCGGGTAAGTTATAAACCA